GCCCCGCCCCGCCCCGCTCGCGCGCCGCCGCCGCTCGGAGCAAAGCAGCAGAAGAAGTGTGTAAAGGAGGGGCCGTGCCAGCCCGAGGCCATCAAGTAGTATACGGGGTAGTTTTGGGGGTGTCGGGCCCGGCACCCGGCGTGTGTCTGGAGACGCCCGGCTGCGCCCCGCCGGCGCGGACAGATGGTGAGCGCAGGGGTGGAGGTGCCGCCAGGTATTAGGACATCATCGACACCGACACCGCCATTAGCGCCCAGCGCCCGCCGTAGGCCCGCCGCCCCAACCTCAGTCATTAGGAAAGCCATCGCGCCGAACAATTTCCGGGAAAACAACAACACGGCAGCAGCAGCAGCCGTCCTGGCCTCGTTTGTTCAAACACGACGACGGCACGGGGATGACCTCTCGTCCAGGCTGCACTACACACCCCAACAACACTGCGAGCCACTGGAGTCTGCTGCGCTGAGGAAGGTGATGAAGGGAAGGAGGGGGACGGGAAAACAAAATCTATTACACAAAAAATACAAACAAAAACGAACCAACGCACTGAAATCTGTTTTGATACTTTTGATTCCGTTGCGATACTTTCAGTGAATTTTTGCAATGACTGGTGTTTTGCGATTCCCTTGTAGTACGTACAAATTGAAATGATGTCTTTGTGCTGTCTGGGAATAAATTTGCAAAGCCCGACTCAGCACTACTGGAAATTATTTTCATGGTGGCTGTAGCGACATCCACTACCGAGGGCAGTCTGAGGGAGGGGTACGGGACCGTGACAAAGCTGGCAGCCGCAGATGACCGCCCGGTGCAAGAAATCGTCGAGGCAATAACTATTTGTCACATTTCGGGAAAATGTCGGACAATAAGCCTTGTAAGACGTCGTTTCTGCGCCTTGGCTTGGCCGGCCTCGTGCCGCAACAAAGCCGCCGCCACCACCACCGCTGTCCGCTACTGTTGTCGACAACAAAACACGACACATTGGCGCCGTAAGAGCGTAAACGCAGATGTCGCACCTGGGCGTCGGTAACGGAGCTCCGCGCGACACACGCACTGGACTGGACGATCTTGGGGCAGAAAAACGTCGATTTCTTGCAAGTATCACCAATAATAAGCACGTCTCTATGGGTGCACATTACGAAAATTCCCAAATTTTCTGGAAAATGTTCAACGAAAGAAGAAAATTGACACATTTAGCTGTGTGCCAACCTCCACCACGCCGCGGCTGTGAGGTGTCATCACATGGCAAACAAAAGCCAGATGGATGAGGGCGGCCTGGACGCCCTGCTCTCCCACGATTGAAGATAGCGCTCGCGCCGTATACAGAAAGATGTTTCAATAGATGTGACCACCGGCGGCCGGACCCTCCCGCGGACCGTTACCGTGGGCGTCTAGAATGGCCGTGTAGTAATTAAGAGCGCCTTGGCATCAAGGCGCCATGAATTATTCGCCACGGAGTAGAGATGAGTGCGCGATTCTGATCGGCGATCGCTCCTGGGAAAGACCTGAGACCTGCCCACCTTGGCGGAGGAGGATGAGCACGGTGGTGGCGGCGCGAGGAGCGCGCGACGGAAGCGCAGCGCTGGTGACACGATGCGGAGCAGCGGACAAGGAATGAGAAAGGCGACGATCGGGATACCATACTGGGACAGTGGAGGTCGATATGGAACGAAGGAAGGAAATCTGGAATGGAACGAGCCCGATTGTATGGGGATCTATATGGTGCCATGTGAAGGGGTTTCGTCGGGACCTCCTCCACGACTGTCGAGCGCGGAAGCGGCGCAGGGTGCGAGAGGTACCCTCCAAATGAGCTTAGCGGGGCAGGATAGCAGGGGAGGGCGGATTCCAGGAGGAGGAGGAGGAGGAGGAGGAGGAGG